CTTTCATGAACACACTACTCATGTGGGTGTAATATCATTTAAGGATATTTGGTTTTAGTGGGCGTTTGTAATATTAATGCTTGTTTGTTATAGACACAATTTTAGTTACTTCAGTTTAAGGATATTTATGTTAAAGTTATTTTCTGCATAAATAAAGTTTGATTTGGTTTATTCACTTTGGTTTTGGTAAATTTTAATCTCACAAATGTTTAAAGAGGACCGGTTGGAAATAGACATGTGTGGTTCACATTGCGTGTAATTTTCATGCTATACTCCATTATTGATCTATGTTATTTGACTGTGTTTGTATACGTGACCATTGATGGGTCTAGTCATGATTGATATGGCAAAGGTCGCTTTAATCCTATATGGATATAGTTGATGGACGAGATTGTTATAGAATACCTATTGCATAATAACAAGTTTTGACCTCATAAGGTTATACATTTATCATGAAACATATGTTATCCAAGTGGGAAATTGTTGGGTTAAAATCCATAATTACATGCACATATTTATAATGTATATTTTTATCATAAAATATGCCATAAATTAAGTGACCCATTATGTTATAAAGTCATAAGGTACTAGAAGTGTCATGGAAATAAAAGTGTACATACTATTAAAGTTGTATTTATAATTCGATGAGAGGCAGAGTTATAAGTACAGACAATAATTGATTCTTAAATCAGCTATATAAAGGGGTTATGGTCCCCAAGAAATAGACACTCTCGCATTTACTCTTTTCCTTGTCAAAGAGTTTATACTTAAGAGAACTATATCTTCTTGGAAGATCATGACCAAAGAAATATTCAAGGATATCAACCTATCAATTAATTCAGATACACTTCTACAAATCCAATATTTATTATTCTTTATGATTTGACATGATTAAATCCTGGTTTTTTTCATATTTATTATAATTTTGGTTCTTACAACAACTAGATGATCAGCTAAAGTTGCACTACTGTAGAGATCACGAACTATTCATTGCCTTCATCTATCACCGAAAATGAAAGTAGAAGAAAATAATAATTTTTGAGTTATTTTTTTAGGCGTGTGTTCACCTAGTAGGTTTACAAGGTATTTATTGGGGTTTCACATAGTGAACTATTGAAAATTTTGAACATAATGAAACATAATAATTGAAATCAATGACTATAACAAGCAATTTCCAAAATTACTATCCGAGTTAAAGAGACCTTTTAATATTTATCCTTTTAGTTTCAAAACAAAATTTTTCAAAAGATATGTTACATTTAAAGAAAATATTTTAAATTTGGGTTAAAATATCTATAAGCCCACAGAGGGCACGATCTGTTTGGATATTTGCATTACACACACCGTGCAAGTCTACACATTTACGAACCAATAATAGATTACATGTTTTCGAATGACGATCACTCCCGTTAATCTTTCTTTTGATTCATCACTGATTAGGCTGATGGTACTATCTACATACCTCGACGAAAGGATCAAAGGTAGCATAAGCTACGGTTGGAGTTTATGAAAGCCAGCAGGAATGGAGCCATGATTTTAGTTCAAGTGGGCAAAGTATAATTAACAATAGAAAATGGGGGAGCAAAATCAAAATAAATAAAAAATTAAAGGCCTAAATAGGTAATTATCCTTATATTTTTTAATTAATTTTTGGGGGCGGTGGGCAGTGGCCCTCCAAGGGTTTACATGGCTCCGTCCGTGAAAGCCATTAAGCGAAGAGTGCAGGGAATGACTAGAAACAAAGGCATCAGATTACTTTTAGACCCGAATTCAAAGGATGTTTTGGAACGCCTTGTGTGGTCCGCACAATCTAAGACAGCATGCAAGAGGTACAATATGTCGCATTGAAGAGAATCACAACTCAACTATGATGATGGATTCGATTCCATGTCATCTTGCACATACACCATTCGTGGTACCCTAAAACCACACCAAAACGTCTCGGTATTCAATATCTGTTATTCGAGGTTTTGATAGATGATGTTTTACAGATTTCTTCTTTTGAAAGTGTCATGAGATTCCTCGTTAGAAAACATTTTATGTTCAATAATATATTTTTTAAATTTATCTAATAATACTCATAAATTGAGTAATTAAAAATTAAATATAATCTTATTTATCAGAAAGTCAAACTTAATAATATTATAGATAAACATACATTAAATTTTATTATTATTTTCAAATATCTCAACTCTAAATTTACTTAATTTAGTTAAATGATTCTAAAATAAAAAAAAATTGAAGAAAATAAATATAATAAAATCAAACACCCTAAGGATTTATATTTAGTAAAATTAAGGGTAAACTACATAAATGGTCACCAAACTTTAAGGACACTTGCATTTTGGTCACTCAACTTTCAAAACTTACAATACAATCACTAAACTTTTAGTTTGTTTTCAGAAATGTCCTTGACGTGTCACGTTGACACCATGACCCCCTCTAGTCTAGCTTGTGTTCCACCGTTGAGCCAAATGCATACCTATTATTTTATATTAGATATTGAATATAGTTTAATATATTAAAGGAAAAAGGAAAAAAATAAGAAATTTGCACACCCATTATATTAAAAAAAGAGTATTAAAATTTCAAGACTCCCATTTCTAAATTTCTGGATCCACCATATCAATTCAGATAAAACTAACGAGAGGTAACATCAGAGACCTTACTGAAAACGAACTAAAAGTTTGGTGATTGTATTGTAAGTTTTAAAAGTTGAGTGACCAAAATGTAAGATTCTGAAACTTTTGGTGACCGTTTATGTAATTTTTTCTAAATTAAATATTAATTAGATTAATACCATTTTTATTATAATAATAAAAATAAAAGTTAAATGATCTGAATATTATAATTTATAAAAAAATAATTTAAATATAAATAAATAACTTTATGGTATGCATCAAATATTACATCAATCCATGACAATATCGTATATCCCAACTTTATTCGAACCGATGAGATGGCTTAGCTGTCATGTCTAGTCTACTTGTCACTCTCCATGCAATGTGCAACCCTTTTTTTTCTTTAACCTTTCCAGAATTTAAGTTCCCATCCTAATTTAGGCTTAATACATTTTTACACCTCAAAATATGAGTTAATATCTAATTTTTTTTACTAACAATAGGTGCTGCATAACTTTTTTTTATAGGTGCCTAAACAATAAAGATCATTAAATTTGACCTATTTAACAACATGTCGTGTATATAAAATTTTAAAAATTATTTTATTTACAATTTTTAATATTATAATTTTAAAAAAATCTCAAATTTTACATCTTTTGCCGTCGATCGATTATCATCGGTCTTTGATTATTACTGTTGACACCATCATAATTGTTTCGCTGCCGTGGTTAAAACACAATTCCCCATCCATCATGAAATTGTGTCAGTCATCGTAAAAAATACTGTGAGGTTTACTAGATTTCTAAGTTTTTCGTTGTTCTTTTTTTGTGATTTCGATGGCTATATTCATCCGTACGTTACACGGTTGCACCTGTTGAGTTCATCGCCTTGTTTCGAACAAAATTCGACTGGTGGTGATCCTTCGCTGTCGATGGTGAAGAGATCGGAGGGAGAGGGACGACGCAAGGTTGATTTTCTTTTAAATTTTTCTTTTTTAAAAATAATATTTTTATTATTAAAAATTAAAAAATATAATGATAGATCCCTAAAAATTTTAAAAACATAATTATAAATATCTAAAAGTGTAATAAAAAATATTAGATATTTGTACTTATTATTGACAAAAAAAAATTTAAACATCAAATCATGTTATATGATATAATTTAGGCACTAAAAATACATTAATATTATTATTTATTACTTAATATACGCTGCTCCAACACTCTCCAACTTACAACAACAACAACAACAACAACAAAATCCTATTCTCATATGCAATTGGGTAAGGGAGAGGTAGGGTAGTAGGCTGCCCCCAACGCATGGTTAAGAGCAGCTTTCGTGGAAGACCTCCGGTGGTAAAAAAAATAAAATAAAGATAAATTGCAATGCATGTATAAGTTAATAAAGAAATACAGAATTGAATAGTTTTCATATACAGTCTTCATATGCGCGATTTTACTGGGAAGTACTTCCTGCAAGTAAAACCCTGCATAAAAATCTCTGCATATAGACAGAAACATAAGACCCGACTAAACTTAAAAAGAGAAAACATGAAGAGAATGATACACAATAGTCCACGATAGCAAGCTACGATAAGGAATAAAGTCAAATGGGATAAGACCTAAACTAAGGCAACACTACTCTGCTATCCTAGTTCTAAGCTTTCATAAATTTCAATGACAGAAACGTATAAAAGTAGAAGTCATGGAAATTACTGCAAAGGCATTAAAAGAAGACAGAGATTACACACCCTATGGATGTGACCCACATTACTCGGCTACTCTAGTCTTGAATCTCCATAATTTCCTATCATATGTCATGTCCTCGGTTAGGGCTAAATCCTTCAAATCATATCTCAAGTAATCTTCTCACTTCCGCCTTGGTCGTCCTCTCCTTCTGACACCGTCGACTGTGATTGACTCTACCCTCCTAACCGCATCCGACGGTTGTCGCCTAAAGACATGCCCAAACCACCGTAGTCTTCCCTCCCTCAATTTTTCAGATACATGCACCCCCAAGAACATCCTAATAGAGGAGTTTGATGTCATGTCCCACAGAGTCTTATCACATGTCTATCAAAGCATTCTCATTTCTGCGGTCTCCATCCTCCTTACGTGATCATTCTTGATTGTCTAACATTTTGATCTATACAGCAGCGTTGGTCTTATTGTCATTTTATAAAATTTTTCTTTAAATTTTAGAGACACCTTTTTATAACAAAACTCCAGTAACAACCTTCCACTTTAATCATTCCACCTTTATACGGTGTATAACGTCATCATCTACATCCATCTTTATGTAACATAGACCTAGACACTTAACTAGATCTAGACACCACCGCCCGCCACCCCAGCCCGACTCTCCTTCCACCGCCATGGATCCGCTACCTTCTCCTCCCCAATGTAGCTACAGCAGCCGTATCATCCCATGTCCCCAATCCAAATCATTTTACTATTTCGGCGGCGAAAACCGCTTACTCGCCATCCCCACCACCGACACCTTCACCACGCTTACACTTTTTTCCCTCTCCACCTTTCTCCGCCTGGCCACCCTATTTGTTCTCAAATACCAACTCCCGAATCACGACCTTGACTCTCTCATTTCCATCTCAACCGATGATGATCTACAAATCATGTTGGAAGAGCACAAGAGACTCTTCTAGTTCTACTGTTGTGTCTTCACGTATCAGGTTGTTTCTTTTTCCGGTTGGCAATGGCGTTAAAGCTGAGTTGACTCATCCTAAACGAGAGAGCTGGTTTGGTGATGCTCTGAGGAGTGCAAGAGTGGGGTTTGGAGGTGAAAGTGGTGAACAGGCTGAGTCTATTCCTTTGGAAACTTCTTCTTCTTTTGGTTCTACTTCTTCTTCGATTTCTTTGTCCAGTTTGCCTCCAATCAAACACTCGCCAGATTCAATATCAAGGTAATAAAAACAAATTTGGGTCCTTTTTTATATATAAAAAGAAAGGAGTTTTATAGTGTAAATGTGCAATTTTTTTTTTCAAAAAAAATCTGTTTTTGCTCCATGGTTCTGTTTCCCCTTTCTCTTAGAGGCAGCTAGCAGTCCAATCGTTTGGTTTTTTTCCTTGAAAAAAGGGGTTCCTTGTAAAGGAAATTTGGGAGAGATTTTACTGATTTCTATTGTTTTTGATTCGTTTTGGCTGATTATGGAACGAGATCCTTATTACTGTTGGATAAACAGTTGTTTCAGAGGCTTAATAGGATAGGAAAGGCTTGAATGTCATGATTAGTGTTCAAATTGAAGATTTAACCTTGAGAGTCAAATTTCTAACTCATTTCTGGTTAACGTTGTGGGAATTGGAAGCAACTTCGATCAATTATGAGTTTAATCCAATAGAGCTGAAATGGCACTGCTGGTTGCTTTAGTTTGATCTTTTAAGTTTTACTCCATATATGTTGAAGATGAATGGTTTCATAGTTTATGCTTCCTTTAACTCTGAAACTTTGTGTCATTCCTACAGCGATGAATGTGTCGGGAGTGCTGTTTCTAACGTACAGACTGGAGCTTTTCAAGACCAAGTTGGCCGCATTGCTTCAATGGAGAACATGCTCTGTTCTAACCCTTTTGAATCAGACAAGAAATTTGCTGATCCTTCCTCTGGGATTGAGGTGCATAGAGCAATTCATGCTTCTGGATTTCCGGTAAATCTGATGCATTTACCTAAGCGGCAAACAAAAGTAATTCACTAGGATACTCATTACGTGCCACCGAGCATGCCTGGAACACAGCCTGTTATGTCATATTACCCAGTCTATTATCCAGTGCCACAGCAGCACCTCGATTATCAATCAAATCAGCCTTATCCAATATTATGTCCCGGTTGCACCGACTCAGCCCAACAATATACCTGTGCAAAACGGTATGGTTCAAGCAATGAATATCGGTGCTGGTCAGCCCCAAGCTCTTCCTAATGCTTCTTTGATTCCAACTCAAGTGGTTCTCAAGGAGGTTGCAGCAGCACCTCAATCTGTAGTCGACTTATCCTCCCAACAATACCAAAAAATTCCAGCAGCACACCAACATATTCATGTACCTCATACCGAGACTGAAACAATGTTTGCAGGGGCTCAAATTCAGCACCAACCTCCCGCTGGTGAAACTGCGAATCATACTAACAGACTTGATGATGACCCTGCTCGAGTCCAAATATACAAATCTCAACCAACCCCACCAATGTTGACTTCACAGTATCAAACAATGACAAAAGCCACGACATTGCTTTTGTCCGAGGCTCTGGCAAAGTTGCATACAGACAATGCTGAACAACAAATTACAGCATTGGAACCATAATGATTTGGCTCTCCATCTGGGAAAACAATTTTGGTAGGTGTCTTGGTAACGTTGTAGTGGTATATGTTACTTGCCTGCCATATAAATAGACAATTTGATTCCTCTCCGACTTAATTTCTTTTGTTTCACTTTTTTGGTTTGTTTTTCTTGGATGTTCTTGAAATTGTAGTGTTCCAAACAAAGTGTTTTATGGTTCGAATTGTCTCTCCATCTTCTTGTTGTTACTCAATGAGGGTACAAGCACCTCTCTTTAGAAAAATCATATCAATTTTCATGTCATTAAAGGTGGAAGGAAACAATGGAAAATAAGAGAAAAAGGTGAAAATATGGACTCACCTAGAGATATTAACAAATATATATTTATTCTGCTAATGCTCATAGTAAATGACATTCTTCTGAGAAACTGAAATGAATATTTCATATATATAGAAATTTTCCCGTGTATACTCTCTCTCAGATCCAATTGATGTTAAACTTATTATGAATTCCTCTTAGCTCTATGAAGTCAATTTTTCGAAACTATAACTCACAAACCTTATTGAAGGTCTCCTATCAGGACTCTTATGGGTGCAGGTCAATGCAAGCTTGAGTATGGCGCTTATGTTGTCTTCTTCCCCCCCTCTATGAGTCATGGAGGGATCAATGAGGGACGAGAGTGGCTTCCTTTCATCGATCCCGAGTTGAAGCCATTGAACCAGATCGATCTCTGAAGACCCTACTTGAATGCTAGGCAACTTTCCAGAAATCATCTCCAGTAAGATCACTCCAAATGAGTAAACATCCCATTTCTGTGATGGTTTCGTGTCATTCAAGGCTTCTGGTGCTCGATAATATGATCCGTTTGAGGATTGATTTATAGCTGTTAACTCGTATGGAGAACTTTGTTGTGATGTCCATATTGCCATCTGTTGTTCCACCTGAAATTCTGGTGATTCATCGGTTATGTTGGTGAGGCGACTGAGTCCGAAGTCTGAAATACAAGGCTCCATATCTTCAACAAGAAGAATGTTGCTCGGCTTCAGATTTCCATGGACATACCTTTTCGGACTGAATTCGTGTAAGAAGGCTAGTCCCTTGGCTATCCCTTTAATGATTTTTACTCGAACCGGCCACGAAAGTGGTTTAAAGGGGATTCCTGATTTGCCTGATTATATCAGAACAATTACCATTGTAATTCCTAGAACACAATATGGAAAATATTTAGCAGAATTTAGTAAGTTACCATGAATTGCTGCAGTAAGATTTCCGTTGGTTATGTAATCATATATGAGCAGTTTCTCGTCATCCGAACAGCAATAAGCTCGAAGGCTAACCACGTTTGGGTGCCTTATTTTCCCGATTGCTTCGACTTCAGTTTGAAACCCCTTGATTCTTTGTCCACCTCCATCTCCGAGTCTTCTAACTGCCACGGCTAGTCCATTGTCGAGCACCACTTTATACAGAATCCCACTTGAACTCTTCCCCAGAAGAAAAGCAGAAGCTTTAAGAAGTTGTTCAAGATCGAAGTCGACCTCAGTGTCTAATGGAACAAAGTTGCACTGCTCCATGTTTTCTGATAGAGTGTCCATGTCTTTTTTCGCAAAGCAGAATATGCCCCTCCCGATCATCAGTTTCTCTTCAAGACGATAGCCGGTGGCTTTCCTAACTCCAATGCAAACGGAGGCCTTCTTGTACCAGTAAGAGAACAAGAATCCAGTGAAGCAGACTCCCGCCATCACAAATGTAACGATTTTAATCGCCCGACGTGAGCTCGAGTGACCCCCTTTCCCAACTTTTATTGAGTTTCTGCTGGAACTCTGAATTGGATTACGAAATGATGTCTGAGAATTTGCATTTGAACTGTCTGGATTACATGAAATCTTCAATGGCAATCCACAAAGCAGAGGGTTCCCTATGAAAGCTGTTGGTCCCGCATTTCCTAAAGCACCATTCTGTGGTATCGGACCGGTAAGATTATTGTAACTGAGATCAGTATACAATTCCTCAGAGAGACTTACTAGGCTAGCTGGAATCTCACCAGTGAAGAAATTGTGAGATAGATCGAGAGTACCGTGCAAATTCGACAAGTTTCCGATGTCAATGGGGATTGAACCGCTGAAGCTGTTGTAAGAAAGATTGAGCTTTTGAAGGCCAACTAAACTGTTTCCAAGTCCCCCAGGGAGTGAGCCAATGAAACAGTTTAGACTTGGAACAAGTGTAGTTAACCTTTTGCATTGAACTATAGATGAAGGTACCGTTCCATTGAAGGAATTCCGCGAAAGATCCAAGGTTTGTAGGTTCTTGAGGTTCCCGACTTCGGTTGGCAGAGGTCCATACAACGAATTACCCGAAAGTTCTATGCTCTTCAGCCTAGTTGCAGCAAAGAGCTCAATGGGTAACATTCCATGAAACGAGTTATTCTCGAGGTTAACATGACGAATAGAGGAGAGATTTACGAGTGCAGGAGACAGATAACCAGATAGTCCGATGTTCGGAACGACAAGAGCATGAACTTTATGGTTTCTACCTGAGACACCATGCCATGAACATGGATTTGGATCTGATGAGTTCCAGTTGATGAGATAGCTTCCGGTGTCACCTTGGAGCGATTGTTTGAAGGATAAAAGAGCAAGACCTTCATCATTAAGAGCAGACAAGAGAGGCTTGTGATTGCTTACAAGGAGAATCAACAAAAACAACAATGGATTCATTAGGTTAAAAGTTATGGTTCGGGAAAGATTTTCAGAAGAAAAATGCAAGTTTTATGGTGGGTTTATGAATGAAAGTGAGTTGTGATCTGTTCAAGTATTGGGCGGGGGTAAACCCAGATATACTTTAGCTTTACTGAAATGACTTATGGAAGTTAGTTTAACATAATGATGATTGAGAAGGGATTGTTTGACAAAAGAGAGGGTAAAGCGTGATTGGAGGCGATGATCGTTCCATGAATGTGGGTTCTGAGTTTGATAGTAGGGTCGTTTTTGGTAGGGACGGTCTCATCACTTTTCGACTTTTGATTCTTGACTGCATTTTTCGAGGCTCAAGTAAAAATAAATACCTAAGCTATGTTTTCTGTTTGCTTTAGGCACTTCAATTATTTTTTTATCAAACTAAGTACTTAAACTATTATATTTAATTATTTTAAGTCATATATTTTTTCAGCTAGAAAATTATTGTTCAATTAATAAAATATTGACACATCACACAAATTAGGTATTTATTTTAATCAAAAAATATTACATCATTCATCCCTCAATTATCTTCTCACTCATGCTTTAGTAATAAAGTTTAAAAATTTTTAATTTAATTATTCAACTTTTAAATTGTTTCTATTTTGATCACTCTAATTTATTTTATTAATAATTTTTGTGACGTGACATTTCTATTATTATTTTATTAATTAAAAATAAAAATAAATAATTTTGAAAGTTAAAGTGATTAAATTAGGAGTAATTTGAAAGTTAAATAATTAAATTAAAAAACTTCAGTGACCAAAATAAGAGTGAGAATATATTATAGTGATGAATGATGCAATTTACCCATGAAAAGGTATAACGTGCAAATCATCTTTTAAGGTTTTAACGGCGAAGTACTAAAAGGAACAAAAACTAAGCGTTATGTATGATTTTAAAAAATTGAAAGTTTAGGTATTAAAACAGACTAAAGATTATAGTTTAGGTACTAAACACGTAATTTACCCTAGATTTTATCATATTCCAATTAGTAGGTTAACGTCCAACTTAGACTCGTTTATTTTGTAACTTCTGAAACATATAAATTGTCGGATGACCATTTTGTAACTTTTAATAGTTAAGGAGGAACTCAACAAAGCATTGTCCTATAATTGAGAGAACCACTTTGTAACTTATAATAGTTGACAGACTCAACAAAATAATAACCATAAACGAGGGACCATTTGTTTTTTACCCTATATTTAAATGTTAATTTTTATGTCAATTTAGTAACATGATAAACAATAAATGATATTTTCATTAATTTAAAAGTTTCTTAAACTGATGCTTTTATACACATTTTAGATAGATATATAAATACATAATATAGATATTCATATATTAACAAGTTAGTAATTCGATTTTGTTTTATTTATGTTGTGTTTTGTTACTTCTTTTGTTAAATTCGGTTGTGAATTTGTAGTAGGGTTTTGCCTTCGTTTAGGGCTTTGCCCTCGCTTAGGGTTTTGCCTTTTTCTTCGTTGACGACTGTTTGCTTTGGGGTGCCTTTTTCCTCGGTTCTTTTAGTGTGGAGAATCTTTTTTCCGTGGTGATCGGAGAGGTAGTTTTCTGTCGGGATGGGAGAGTTAGAGCAACGTTTGGATGGACTTCAAATTGGGGAAGAAGAGGAAGAGTGTTTGGTGTTAGATTTGGGTCCTGAGGGGTCATCTGTGTCGTTTGAAAACTGCTTAGTGGGATTCTTTCTAACGTCGAGCATGATCAACTTTCAAGTGATGCGGACCACTTTGGCAAATGCCTGACATCCTATTGGTAGCATATCTATTTCTGATCTTGGTGCGGGGCGGTTCCTGTTTCGCCTTTATCACACAGTGGATGTTGATCAGATTGTTAATTCTGGACCATTGTACTTTAATTCTCATTTGCTGGGGTTTCATCGGCTGTGTGAAGGTGAAGATCCTCTGGTGGTCCCGCTAAACACGGTTGACTTTTGGGTAAGTATAGTCGATTTGCCTATGTGGTTTGTCTCTGAATCGGTTGCATTGTCACTAGGCAATTTTATAAGGAAATTCTTGGAGTTTGCGCGTCGGCTATTTTGTATGGCCATACTTTAAAAAGAAAGAAGTTGGTTTTGCCATATGGTAAGGTTGTTTATGTTGCTTTTCAGTGCGGTTATTCTGCTTTATTTGTGGAAAATTGGGGCATGGAAAGAGATTCTGTCCTCTTCGGATTTTGCAGGATAAGAAAGAGTTTGAGTTTCTATGGGATGTTTCGCTTCAAGCTCCACCATGTCAACGTGGCACTCTTCATAGTCCTTGGTTACGATAGGAGGATGGTGAAGGTAAAAGCTATTTAGAGGGTATTGTCGTAACCGTCTTTCGGTTGGGTTCCGGAATTGGGCTTCGACTTGAAAAATGTGATTGGAGTCGCCACCGATTATTTATTTAAAAAAATAAATAGGTTAATCGGATACCTTATATCTTACATGATCTGCGTCTTACCAAAGATATGTCGGATTCGGGAGTCGGTTACGGTCAAGGAAGGATTAGCACCCT